ACAGAGCCCAAATTGTCATCATCGGCGCAAGCATTTTCGGCCACCTTCCCTCCATTAAGAACGGGCAACTGAGAAACAGCATCTGAATTTTTGCTGCTGAATGAAGAAGTCTTTCTTAATGAGTTGGTTTCAGGAGACTCAGATCTTAGATCTTTTAGCAGCTGTAATTGTTCAATTTGCTCATCTTTTCTAGCAATAGTATCCTTCAGAGATGTTACCTGCTCCGGTAAATACCAAAAACTGAATTTGCGCACGAGGAGAACAACATAACCAAACATAAGATCGGAAAATTTCCTTCTAAGAACAAAGATGATGGTTAACAATTTGCACATCTAATAAAAAAACATGTGATTAAATTATCCATAATTATGAATGTCACGTCACGTATGCTGCTTATCTAGTTTATGCAAAATCGTGCGACTAGATTTTTCTTGAAATACCTTTCCTCAAACAAACCCAGTGATGGATAAAAAATGGTGGCGTTATTAGCAGTACAGGCTATCAAGTTCATAAGGTGATCCAACTTTGTGGATGTTGAGAGGAAAGGAAAGGTACCACTGAGTTGTAAGAGGTCCACTGAATAAGGGAAATCACCTTTGCTTTCTATTTTCTACTCTTTTTATTTTTTACCATTTGATTTGAAACAACAAAATGTTTGATATGGTATAACTCAGTTGTTTTTAAAAACATTCACAATAATTTCTAGTTATTTTGAGTGTTATTAAAAACAAGTTGATATGTTTTTTAAAACATCAAATAAAAATATGCAAAATAAACATACTAAACAAAAATATTTTTAAAATAAAAGTAAAAATAAAAATAAAAAACAAAAGCAATCCCAAACAAGTCTCAACATATTAAGAGAACACAATAAGGAAACAATAATTGGTAATGTACACTTTTGGAATTGAGCAAGATAATTTAATTAATAGGAAGAGGGATGTAAATACATATTACAATATCCAAATAAAAGGAAAGATATAAATTCAGAAATAGACCAACTAAGAAATACATAAATATGGAAGCGAAAAATAAAGGAAGTAAATAAAAATTAATAATAACTGCAACAGCAATTAGCTTAATAATTAAGATAATATCCTAATACTCCCACTCAAGTTGAAGCATAGATGTTCATCATATTCAACTTATCATATTCAACTTGGAATTGAAGTCGTCAAACAATGGCCGAGAAAGATGCTTGGTAAAGATATTTGCTAATTGACCATTGGATAGGATAAATGAAATACAAATCTCTCCTGAATCGAGCTTTTACTTAATCAAGAGTCTCTCAATCTCCATATGCTGCTCTGATCACCTTAGACTGGATTATGGGCAAGACTAATGTCAACTTTATTATCACAAAACAGCTTGAGAGAAGCATAAACTGGCCTACGCAATTCACAGAGTGTGATGTGTAACTAGAGAGCTTCACGGATACCTAAGGACGAGCGAAATTCAGCTTCAACACTGCAATTGGCCACAACCGACTGTTTTTCGTTTTTCTACGTGCCAAGATTTACCTACACGAACGAGCAATATCCTGTGGTGGATCGTCAATCATGGACAGACCCGACCCAGTTCACATCTGTATAAATAACAATAAAACAAGAGATGTGGCTCAAGAAAAATAAATCTGAGCTTGACGTGTCTTCTAAGTAGTGAAAGATCTTGTGTACAGCTCGAAGATGATGTTTATAGGGATCATGCATGAATTGACTCACAATACCTACTGCATGACAAATGTCAGGGCAAGTATGAGCAAAGTAAATGAGTTTCCCCACAAGTCGTTGGTAGCGAATCTTGCTCACCGGAACCGTATTGGGAATATCAGCTAATTTCTCATTGGGATCCATTGGGGCCGCCATTGGTTTGCAAAAGAGATGGATAGTCTATGTCAATAAATCAAGCACATATTTGCGTTGAGATAGGCAAATGCTTCGAGATGACCGAACAACTTCAATGCCTAAGAAACATTGGAGTGACCCCAAGTCCTTCATTTCAAATGAAATAGCAAGAATACCTTCCAGAGACTACAATACTGGTAAATTATCACCTGTAAGCACAATACCATCGACATAGACAATAAGGAAAGCAATTTTGTCACTGAAGGAATACCGAAAAAAGAGAGTATGATTTGATTGATTGGGCCTAAGAAAAATCATGACATATTATCACCTTTGTGAACTTGTTGAACCAGGCCTTTAGGATTACTTCAGTCTGTAGAGAAACTTTCGCAATCGACACAATTATCCTCGGGGAACGGTAGAGTCAAAGCCTGGAGGGAGGCAAATGTACACCTCTGTAAGATTCCCATTTAAGAAAGTATTTTGACATCCAGTTGGAGCAAGGGTAAATCCAAATTCACATCAAGGGAAAGTATAACCTGAAATGTGTTTAATTTAACAGCCAGAGCAAATGTCTCCTCATAATAAACTCAGTATATTTGTGAGTAGCTTTTGGCAACTGTGTTTTGTTGCGTTCAAAGAATCCATTGGAGTTAAACTTGGTGCTAAAATCCAGTGGCACCCTATTGCTTTCTTACCTAGAGAAAGACCACAATATCCCATGAATGATTTCGCTAAAGAAGATTCATTTTATCTATTACTGCAGCTTTCTAGAAAGGATTAGCTAATGCTGCTTCAATAGTAGATGGGAGGTGATGATCTATCAAGGCAACAACAAATGCTTTATAGGTTTGTGATATACTGTGAAAAGAGATATATTTTTCCATGGAATAAGGAGAGCTTGCTTGATCACATACCTCAACAGAAGAAATCACCTCATTTGGAGTGGTGTCAACTATGGGAATGTCACTCGAAGTGAATTGTAGGTCCTGTAAAGAAGTAGCAGGCCCCAGAGTGGGAACATGAGTGCGCCAAATATAGACACAAAGAATGGGAGGAGGTTCTGGTTGTTTAGTAGGTGGTGGATCCAAAGAAGCCTTTTTTAGTGGCAAAATATCCGAGGAAGACATATTTTATAGACCATAGATTAAGCTTACTACGATTAGGGATAGTGTTCCGAACAAAGGTTGTGCACCTAAAAATTTTAAGTTCAAGAGTGGTGAAGATAGACTGGTTGGAAAACATGACATCATGATGGCTAATAGAGTTCTAAAGTTATGATTTTTTGTGGGAATTCTATTGATGTGAAAGGTGGCAGTAAGCACGATATCATTCCAAAAACCTTTTTTGAACATTAGATTGAAACATAATGAGCCAGCTACTTCGAGAAGGGTGTCATATTTTTTTCTCGCCTTACTCATTTTGTTGAGGCGTGTCCGTGCATGAGCTATGATGGAGGATGTCCTTACTTACCAAGAACTCACCTAAAATAGAATTAAAAAATTTAAGGACATTGTTGGTTCGAAGAACTTGAATAGAAATTTTGAATTGGATTAAAATGAAGAAGTGAAAGTTTTTTAAGATGACAATGGCTTCAGATTTATCTTTTAAGATATAGACTTGCATCATTCAAATGTGATCATCAATGAAGTTAAGAAATAATTGTTTATTAGTGTAGTTGAGAGTGCAAGAGGGTCCTCAGAAGTCACTGCAAATAAGAGAAAAGGGAGCGGAAGGCATGTAAGGATGAAATAGATAAGAAACGTGATGTGTTTATCTAATTGGCAAATCTCACATTTAAAGTTGCAAAATTTTAATTATTAAATATCGACAGATACAATTGTTTTAAATACTGAAAAACTGAGATAACGCAAACGATAATGCAACAACATAATAGGTCATTCAATAGATCGAAAAAAACTGCAACTACTGGGAGAAGTGTCCTTATTCTCTGTATCTTTCTCTTAAAAGAAGTAGAGTCCAACTAATCTTTTAGCAGTTTCAATCATCCTCCCCGAACAAAGATCCTAAAAGACACAAATATTCGAAGAAAAATTAGCAATGCAATCTGTCATGTGTTAGCTTACAAACAGATAATAAGTTACTTTAATAGAGGGATATGTAACACAAATTTCAGAGTTAGACCGGTTGTTAATACAAGGGATCCTTTACCAGCAATAGAATTACAAAAATCATCGACAATTTTAAATGTATCTTTCCCAAAACACGGATAATATATTGAGAAAGCTTGAGAGCACCCCATCATGTAGTACGTGGCACCCGAATCAATGATCGATGGACTAAAAAAAGAAGTGTTTCATAAGAGTGATTCCTTGACAAATGTGGGAGGTTTAGGCCGAAAGTAAACTGATTGAATTTAAGTAGTTTGATTAATTGCTCCATCTGACTCTTTAAGAGAGTCGGGTGATTCCAAAGTGTTCCGACTAGGAGTTGGTCGCAACGTAGTAGACACAGATGTCGTAGTGAGTCATGTGGTCATGTGGCAGGAGAGGATTTGGTTGAAGGTTTGTATGTTGGTTTCCCATTGAGTTTCCAACACTTTTCTTGAGTATGGTTGGGTTTGTGACAGTAATCATAAGTGAACCCGGTGGCTCGATGAAGGTTTGACGAGTGTTGAATAATATTAGTGACAACGCAGATGATTCGACTGAAGTGGAAGTGCCGAGAATGACAATTCTTTGGCTCTCTTCGCGTCGAATTTTTATGAAAGCAGCATGAGAGAATGAAGGGGATTCCGACCAAGGACACAACCCCAGACTTTATCAAGATCTTTGTTAAGGCCCGTCAAAAATTGGAACATGCGATCTTTTTTTATGATTGTTTGAAAAAGGAAAAAATTTGATAGTGATTCTCACGTGTAGTCATAATAGAGATCGCACCCATCCTATAAGGCCGCTAAATCATTGTAGTACTGAGTCACTGTCCTTGATTCCTATTTTGCCTCACAGATCTTCTTGGAAACCTCATAAAGTTGGCTGGAGTTCCCTACTTTTGAGTAGGTGTCTCGAACTACAGTCCATAGGGCATTGGCGGAAGGGAAAAAAAGAGGTACGAACAGCCAATCGAAGTCTCCATGGAATTAATCAATCACGACATGACCATGAAATTCTCTACTCTGCATGTTTCATACGTTGGGTCAGTTTTCGAAGGTTCATGAATTATTCCCGTGAGATAGCTGAATTTTCTGCGTCACTCTAGAAATAAAGACACGGCTTAGGACCATTGGAGAAAATTAGATCCGCTTGGTTTATGGGTGGTGATTGGGAAGTTCATGTGCTTTTCTGGTCCTCCGATCTAGGAAGAATTGAGATCGTTGTCGATCCTTCGATGGACTCAAGTACAACATCGGGAGAAGGCTCGATGGTGGTGAAGTCCGCCATGATCTTGACTGAGCCAAATGTGAAATTGGGTTAATGAGACATAGGGCAATCCTGGAGGGAATAGAAATGGTCTCAGGGAGGAGCTCCAGCGATCCAAGAGGAAGATCCATCCGACAGACAAGAAACCCGGCAACTGAAAATGACAGTCGACAAGCTGAGCGACAGTCACCCTTCAAGAATCGGTGGTTGGAAGGCCTTCAGAAACCGACTGAACAAGAAAGCCTGCAGTGATGCCAATGGATGAATAGAGGAACCAAAACAGGGAACCGGAGGGAGTGCAGCCCTGGCTTGGAGATGCGTTCAACATATCCAGTGAGGAGATGTATGATGTCTTTGAAAAAAAATGGTGTGTTTCTTCGGATTCCAAACAGGACGAGCCAGGAGACCCACAACACCACCTTTGTTGTCTACGAAGACATATACAATGCCAAGGCTGTTGTCGATCACTTCTGTAGGTTCAATGTTGCGAACCGATTTCTTATCGTGTTGTATTACCTGCAATTCGCTAGTCTATAACATCCCTGACTGCAGGGAAAAAAACTGCAGGGAAGATGACGACAGCTAAGTAGATGCCCAACAGCAGTTAGGCTTCAATCCTAGGCTCTGATAACACATAAACTTTTGAAATTGAGCAGGATAATTTTATAGATAGAAAGAGAGGTATAAATATATATTACAAGTTTCAAACAAAAAGGAAAGACAGAAATACAAAAATAAGTCAACGAGAAAATACATAAATAAGGAAACGGAAAATAAAGAAGCTAATAAAAGCTAATAATAGTTGTAACAGTAATTAGCCTAATAATTAGGCTAATAATCCTAATAGGAAATAATAAAACAAAGTATGTAAATATAATTTCAAAAAAAATTTGAGCTTAGATATCTTGAATGAATTTTAATCAAGATGAATTTCAAAGCAGTTAAATTTACTTTAAGATATGCTTAATACAAATCATCATCTATTGCACTCATCTCAAAGTAAACCAATGGATTTTAAACCAATGACCAAAATTTCCTCAATACATGTTCGGCTAATTTCTTTCCTGAAACTTTTAATACAATTCCTTTTCAATGTTGGAGTCTTATCTAAATATTACTTAAAAATTTAAAACTCCACCATCAAAAGCTTGCGCATACAAATATATGAGCTCCTAAACAAAAAAGAGGTGTTCCAATTCTTTTTTTTAAGATAACAGCCAATTATTTTGAACTAGAGATATGAAAGTAACAACTTTCCTGGAAAGTAAAATAATTTGTGTGATATTAAGCTCCTTTGTGAGTTTAGTTCGCTCATAAAAAGTAGAATTATTGACAATGTAAATGGTGGCAAGATTGTTGGAATATAGATGCACGGGTTGAGTACCAGGAAAACCAAACTATACTAAAAATATTAAACCATGTCACTTCACATGAATAATGAATCATAGCTCTATATTTAGCTTCAACATTTGATCTAATAATCACAACATATTTCTTGATTCTTCATATAACTAGATTCCCTCTAGTAAGGATGCAATATCTTAATACTGACTTATTATCTTCAAAGAGCTGAAATAATTAATAGAAGACCATGTTCCATAATTCAGATGCTTAGATTTAGTATACAGTAGTATTTTACTAGTAGTCCAGTTTATGTATCTAAAGATTCATAAGATAACTTGCCACTCTGGCAGTAAATGAAATGTTAGGTCAGGTAATAATAACATAAATAAGTTTACCTACCAACCTTATATATTGGGATGAATCACGAAAAGATTCATCATCATCATTAAATATGGTAAGAATCTCCATGGATATATCAGAAAACTTGCAATCAAAGTGACTTGTTTCTTCAAAAAGATCAATAGCATATTTCCTTTGATAAAGAAATACTCCTTTATAACTATATGCAAATTTAATTTTAAGTGCTTCAAGTTTCCCAAATATGTTTGTAATAAACCATCTCTGTATAGTATTTTACCGCAAAAATGACATAATGGCTACCAAAATAAACTGCTAATTTGATTAATCCTGCAAGAGCATGCTTTATGATGATAGAATGGCTTGTAGCTCCACTTTGAAGACCAATCTAAGTTAAGACTATGCATGACAAGGGGGTTATTCCACTCCCACCTCTACTGAACCGGGCAACCGGAACTAGTTCAATTGAAACTGGAGGGGTGGCCGGCCCCAAGTGTTTTGGGGTTGCCGCCCGATTAGGAAAGGACACCACCTCTCCTCCTTATCAAAATAGTATTTATATGTGTTTGTGTGTCTTAGGGTTAGCTTATATTATTTTCTGATTTCAATTTGTGAGGACAGTTGTCGGCATCCTATTTTTCCCTTTGAGGGTTGTATCTGACGGTTAGGG